GCAGCGGTGATGCCCCGGAAAGAGTACCCGCCAGCGCACAAGGCGCGAAGATTACTCGACGGCGCACTCAAAGGACGGGATAATCGGCACGAGGTTGTAGCTGGGCCGAGGGATGGGCTGGTGGGCGTGTTGTGTGCATGGGAGTTGTCGTTGACGTAGCGTTCGGCAGGAAGGGCGGGACAGCCGGCGCGGAATAGCGCTGAGCTCTTGAGCTGCTGGAAGATGTCGTGCACGTGATGCTCGGCAATGGCGAATTGGCACACGGGTGTATTCAGGTGGTTCGGCTCGGTTGAGAAGGGGCAGAAGCGGGTGGCGCATGCGAGCAGCAAGAGAAAGAGGACGATTGGGCGCACATGGACTGCTGATTCCTGTTGCATGGGCAACTCAGGTCCAGCGCGGCCGGCATAGAACGGCTGCATTGTTCGTTTGTGAGAGAGGTGAGGCGACCCGCACATCGGTGGGGAGCTCGCGATGAGGTGGGCGTGATGGTGGCGCTTGCGTAGCCCACCACAGGCAACGTGAGGAGAAATTCTCCTCACATCGTGATTTGCGAGCTCAGAGTCACATGTGCATCTTCATCATCTCTTTTCTCTTCTCTTCTCTCCCCTCTCTCTCCCTCCCCTCCCCAGCTGTCGTGGGCGGCTGCAGCTCCAAGAAGCTCATCTGCATCACCTCTGAAGGAATCTGTCCAAGATCCCAGAAATGGCGAAATCGCTTTTCTCTTCCCGTACCCGTCGTCTATCGTCTGTGCTTCTGGCCGCTGTGGTGCTCTTCTCGGCCGTGCTGACTCTTGCTGATGCGGACGAGGGCCGCCGACTGAGGCGAATCCGGTTCAGGGGAGGTGGCGGCTATGGGTCTGCTGACGCGCTGATAGTGATGCTCTACGTTATGGGCATCATTTTCGGCATCCTCATCGTCGTCATCATCGGTTACAAGTGCAGGAGCATTTGGCTGGGCCACAGCCGAGAGAGGCGTATCCAGCCGACACCGACCGCCTCGCCCCCTTCGTCTGGCATGTGGCGCGGCACCTACGTGAACCGAATATCTGGCACCAAAGTGACCCTCCCGACCAAATGTCTGCTCATATTCGAGCATGACGGCACTGTGACCGGCGCGGGCGCCGACGCAGACGGCGAGTTCAAGGTTAAAGGCTTCTACAACATGACTACTGGGATGGTGTCGTGGGAAAAGAGAAGCGAGGGCACGTGGGGGGAGCGCCGAGTGGACGTGACGGGTACCTTCGACGCCGCCCGCAAGTCCATCAGCGGCAGGTACATCGAGTCTCCTTGAACACGGCGTGCTTGATTGGCATCCAGCTTCTCTCTGTTGGCCGGGTCTGCTTCTCCTCTGCAGGTACACGACCTGGAAGATCCCGCAATTCGCCATCACCCTCCACTTCGACGAGGAGGAGTCTGCGGCCTTGTACTTGCGCATGAGGGGGCTAATGGAAAGCGACCTCAGTGGAGGAGAAGAGGATGGCGGCAACGCAGACGATCAAGAGGGTGGCGAGGCGTCGAGTGCCGTCCTCACCACCACGGCCCCCACCGCCCCTCCGGCGCCCATGGAGCAGCCGGTCACGACCGACCAGGAGACCGCGACTAATGGCGAATCGGACACCACGATGGTGTCCTCTTCGTATGGAGGGCAGGACAGGCCGGCGGTGCTGAACAACCAGCCGGTGACTTCTTCCAATACGCCCGTGGTTATCACTCGCTGTGGGGCCTAGTTGGCCCTATGGCGGACGATACACAAAGAGCGAGATGAGCCGGGGGGTGGGTGGGGTTGGGCGGGAAGGACGGGAGCATTAATTGACGTGTAGACGGACGGATGTGTGCCCATGTTTGTTCAAGTGCCTGCGTCGAATGTGTGTTTGTGGGGGGGTGTGGGCGGGGATCGAGGGTGCGTCACCCTCTGTGAGTGCGTGGTATGTGGATGTCCGCGTCTGTCAGCCACTTTCTTCCTGTCGAGCAGACGAGGCATTGGGTGGTTCTCTGTGTGCCATTCTTGTGGTGTGGTCCGATTGAGTCACCCAAGATGCTCGTATGAGCGTGCGCGATGTGCGTGGGTAGGCAGGGAGGTAGGGTAGGTAGGTTCTTCTGTGCGTGTTGGCAGTGTTGCCAGTGTTGCCAACAACCGGCCGGAGCAATCAGCTTATGAGTTGCCTTCGTTTGTATGTCTTCGTGGTGCGTTGTAAGTGAGGTGTCTGTCTTGGCTGCCCTGCCACTGTCAATCTAATCTGATGAATGTGGTGAGTGGGTGATGGAGACGCTTGAGCGACAGGCACGTGATGTGTTGATCAATCTGTGGACTGCTCAATGTCACACAAGTTGCATCCGGACAGGATGGCCAGGAACGATGCGTTCCGTTGAGCCGTTTGGGCCGTTTGCCATTTGAAGTGAAGACCAGACGGATCCCCCGCAGCAGCCACCTCGCCAGCCACCGCAGAGCACGTGTGTTACCGATATGGGGCTCCTGCGCAGTTCGCTCGCTGCCCTTGCCCTCCTCTCCGCCGCCGCACTCGTCGTGGCCAAAGGTGCGCAACGCCACACGCTCCGAGAAGTCGGCCGGCCATCTCGTGCTGTGCCACAATCACTGACTCTGTGTTGTGTGGCCTCACTCACTCTTACAGACAGGAGGCCGGCGCCCGTTGCGACCAAGCACTCGTTCCCCTCCTGGGTGACCATCAGCGACGCCGCCGCCAACGAGGCCGCCGCGCCTTCACGGCCCATGCCCACCGCCCGCCGCCTCCAGGACGACAACGTGACGGAAGACGGCAACGTCACAGACGTCACCACCGTCACTGGAGACCTGCCTCCTGACATCACCACCATCACTGCCACGCCCAAGAACGTGCGCTACGAGGTCCAGTACGACCAGATGGACTACTTCGGCCACCAGGAGGCCTGCCAGGCCAAGGGCGGCAAACTCGCCGAGCCATACACTTACGTAAGAGGAAGAGGCAGGGGGCATATTCAGCAAGGGCTGGTGTGCGTGCGTGATGTCAGGCTGATTTGGAGGTGATGATGAACGCGACGCAGCACATCGACGGCACCAAGCACGACATGATCTTCCTGATCGGCATTGTCATGAGAGAGGTCAGTGAGTGAGTGAGGGAGCTGCGTCCATGTCCATCGCCATGGCGCTTCCCCATGGTGTCCGCGTTGGCTCTCTGTCTGTCTGTGTGCAGGAGTGCGACCCGGCCACTCAGCGGTACGACCAAAGGTGCTGGACCTACGCCAGCAACCCCACTGGCCCAGCGGCCTCATGGATGTTTGGTCCGTAACACACAAACATCCCCCAGATCGGAAGAGCACACGTCTGAACTCCAGTCACAAC